TAATAATAATAATAATAATATTAATCTGGACAATCTGAAATGAGTAACAAAGAGAGGGGGGTGTAGAAACAACGACCCCGAGAGGAGGGAGGGGAAAGAGAGAAAGATAAGGAGTATCATTTTAGGTTGCAGGTCTAGAAATAGCTCGCAAGTCTTCGGTATCAGCGGCCCAACGCTGACATGCCAGCTGGTCCGGACTGACAGGGAACAGCTGGCTCACAGATAGCTTCAACATGATGAAGCATCAAATAATAGACGGAGACGGAAAGAGTCCCTGCACACYCCAAACAGGCAGGCGTGGTGCCGTCCAAACACCACAATTACTAAACACCCAAACAAAATTAAGCGCTGATAATCTCACACTGTAATAAACACTAAAATAAAACACCACAGAGAGGTGGGTGTAGCACAGCTAAGAGCCTTATTTAGAACCAGAAATCAACGCGGTTAGCAAGTTAGCTAACTTTTAGCTAACGATCGCTACAAGCAAAACAAGACTCACATCAGCTTTGTTTTAGGTTTTATAATCGACGTACTGCAGGAAGAATGTGTTTCTTCTCCTCGGTGTTGGTCAAAAGTCGACAAAAAGTGACGCTAGACGAAGACTTAGCAACGTTAGCTTAGCCGGCTAACGCGGTTAGCTTCGCGACTAAAAACATGCTTTTCAACAGATTTAGAGCCACTYGGATCACAAGGTCGTGTTCCGCGAGACTTCAACCGACTGACTATACTGGGTAAAGAAATGTTTCGTTTACAGCCGTAAAGATAGGCCGGTATTTACCTTGTAATAAGCGCCGTTGGAGCCACGGACCTCCACCGCCAGTTCTTCCATATTGGACACGCAAAGGATGCTGGGACGACAGGTGTTCCTGAAGGAGTCTGGAGTCAGGTTATTGTTGAGAGGTTTTAAAGCTCTGACAAGGAAATGCTGTGTAAATTATTAAACAAACAGAAATTATCCTGCTTTATGCTTACGGTTTTCACTCAGAAGTTGATAATCATACAATTTGTTGACATATTTTTATATGAAATCATTGTAACTGATAAAAAAATGAAATAACATGAAAAATATTTGCACATTTGAATTTGTGTAGAATGTTGTGAAGCACATAATGAAACAGCTCAAACTGTTTTTTTTCTTCTTACAGGGGGTCAAATCAGTTAAAAATGTTCCACTGTTTATTTAAGACATTAAAGTCAAATTTAATTGAATAAAGTTTTTTTTCTGTTGTTGTTTATTTTAAATATCTCCCTAGACTCTTCTGGTTGAGGTATGTTCATGTCCTTTATCTGTACAGGTTATATCGTATCATTTAGCAAGAGAGACCTGTTATACAAAAATAAAACTGTAAAATCAATACAACCAATAAACACATTAATACAAAATAAACATTTCAACAGAAGCACATTGAAATAAATTCCAACAGAAGCTGCCCTGACTTTAAATGTTCCCAAATAAATTTAAAAAATAGGAACAGGAGTAAGTATTTGATCTCCAGTTCTTTMATAAAAATTAAAATTTTCTCGATAGTACACTTCAACTGGTATAAAGAGGAGATGTGGAAAAGGGATAATTCTTAACAAACTCAAGTTAGCTTTTTTTACACAAGTTGTAATTTGATTTTTTTTGTAACCTATAAGATCAACCCTGGCGATGAACAGATAATACAGTTTTTCTCGATTGTTTATGCACATTTCCTGGTACTTGAGACAAAATTACCACAACATGTGACTTAAGCACCAATCCCCTTTTTTATTTAGACATGTATTCGTTTTAAAAAGGAAAACAACTACAACAAAAAACAAAAACATAMAGTCAAAAATAAAATAAAATGAAAGGCAACAAGAAGAATAAATGTTATCTGCCCCTCACCCAGTTCTGCTAAACTGCAAACACAGTTCCAGCTTTACACTCAAATTTCAGTTTAAAACACACTTTTTTCAAAACACTACACACATTCTTTGTATTTTGGCACATTTGTCATGAAAAAAAATCCTTGTCACAAAGAGCACACTGTCATTCAAAACTCTAAAGTTAATTGCCCTACTGTGCACACCAACTCGTCACATGGGCGAACACCTGTCCCACAGATTTACATTTGGGAATGTAAATATCTTGGGATTCCCCCRGACCAGCTGGCCCAAGTGGCTCTGCTTAGGCTGGTGCCCCCACAACTTGACCCCGAATAAGCGGAAGAAAATGGACACTTTTTTTGTTGTTGTTGTTTTACTTTGACTGTATTCTGTTGTTTTGGATGTAGACCAGGGATGATCAACTAAATTTCTCCGGGGGCCACAGTTAATGCAAACCAACAGCAGCACAGGGGCCAACCGTCCAGCAATTAAAGTCATTATGTAAATAAACCAAGTATTACAATCTCTTACCTTTGAAATTGTTTATTTATGTATTTTTTAGTCATGAATACAACATATAAAACCCTATWTAATAAAAGTAGTGATAATAAAACAATATCAAAATCAAAAATGACACATTATGCCTCCTCTTTAACACAAATATTTTTGACGACTCTGCTGTAATTTCTGCTGTAATTACACATCTGTATTTTCTTGTCTGCACTGTCATACTTCACAGTTAATAGTCTGTTGCAATTGTTTTTTCACTGAAAATAGGTAAATACTAATTTCTAATGTGAAATTCTGATAGGTAACTACAGTCTAAAATGAAACATATCTTTTTATTCTTGCACAATCTTTTATATTATATTATTATCAGTAGTAGTATCATTGCTAGTTAGTGGTAATTTCATTTTTTGTGCATTTTCTATAGTTTGTAAACTAGTGTGTGAACCTCTGTACTGATGCAGCTGTGACACATGAATCTTCCCTTGGCGAGACAATAAAGGCTATTTCTATTCTATTCTATTCTGATTTGCCAAATTTTTAACCAATTTTATTTTCGCTTTCATAGTTTTAGCTTCAACTGCTTGTAGTTTAAACTGTTTTACACTGAGCTCATCACTGTTCAACTGGTTCTTATAAAGGTCTGTTCATCTGATGGTTTGAGTGTCATCTGAAAGCAAAATACCATTTTGAGAAGAAATTACATTGTTTTGAATGTAAAGATTAATTTTTGCAGTAGAAATGAGGGGTTTAGCCCTTTGTGTGTGTGACTTTTGGATTTGTGTGTAGAGTTCTGAGAACATGAAGCATGCCCATCCATCCATTTTCTTCCACTTATCCAGGGTCGGGTCGCAGGGGCAGCAGCCTAAGCAGAGAGACCCAGACCTCCCTCTCCCCAGCCACTTGGAC